CCCCATTTCATCCAAGTGGACCACGCTCTTTTGCAAGAGCAATAGCCGTATCAAGATAAACATATGGGGAGAATCTGTTGGAAGAGCAGGTCCCGTACGTGATTCACAAATAACATTTTAATTTGTAAATAACATTGAATGAGTAATAACTTTCAATTAATAAATATTACTTATACTACAAATAATATTATGAGTACTAATTTTCAACCAATAAATAATAACTACGAATATTATTTAATGAATAGTAACTTTTAATCTATAAATAAAATTTTATTTTATTTTATCTTTTTAAAAGAAAATAGTTGAATAGAAAAAGAATTTAAACAGTTTTTAATCTCCTATGTTATTACATCTATCTTCTTTCTTTCTCTAATTAATATATGCTGTTTTTATTGAATTTTGCTTTAATTTGACATTTTGAGAGATATATTGGTTTAAGATTTCATTGGATTTTAAAAGACTTTTTTTAAGTAAAAAAGTTTGTTAGTATTTAATTAGGATTTTATGTTACTTAAAAACAATCTAGTAGTATTCAATCTGAATTTTTAGAATTTTTTAAAAAGTCTGTTAAAATTTATTGGTATCCATTTAAGACTTTTTATAACTTAAAAATAATCTATTAGTATTAAAAAATACAAGAATTTTTAGGATTGTTGTATTATGAAGATTTTGAAGGACTTTTTAGTGGTATTTATAAATACTAAATTTATAAAACAATGGGTTTTTTGCCTGTATAGGGTTAAATCAAAAACATTTTATCCGTATGGGATTCTTTGACAAAAAATTCTCTGTTTAGGGTGATTTGTGAGTGTTGTAAAAACTGTTGGCGACACATGATCAAGTATCGGCTGAAAGAATGCCGACACAGGTGTCAGACCCGACTACTGAGAGCGGTTCAAAAGGAACCGCTCTCTAATATAGACATCTTAGAGCGGTTACTTTCAAACCGCTCTCATAAATCAATTTTAGAGAGCGGTTAGAAAGTAACCGCTCTAAGAAGTCCATTTTAGAGAGCGGTTGCTAAGAAGTGCATTTTAGAGAGCGGTTCACACCAGTGTCGGGTTGTTCAGGACCGACACACACTGATTGGTCCAGGCCCTCCATCTTTGTTCTGTTATTCATCTTCTTCGATGAAAAATTTTTGCAAATTGAAAACGCAGAGGTGGAGGTGGAGTGGAGAAGCAAGGCAGATAGATTGCATATTTTTAAAGCTTTGAAAGGTAAGAAAAAAACATTATAGTGTATATTAGATATAAATATAAAATATTTATTTTTGCTTCCGTTTTTTGTCCCAGGAATATTGCAATCGGTGGTGGTCCAGGCTATTGTGAGAGGGACTTTCGGTGGTCCAGATTCTTAGCAAAAGGAGGTTAGTAAAAATTTATATTTATAGTGATTTTGTTATGCATGTAAAAAATAGGAAAATAGGAATATAGAAAAATAGAAAAATAGGAATATAGAAAAATAGAAAAATAAAAAAATAGTTAAATTAAAATATATAATTTTCTTGTTACTTATGTAAAAAATAATTAAATAAGAAATATAAAAGAATTAAATTAAATAAATATATGAGGAAAAATTATGTGTGATTATTATTATAAAGTTAATAAAATATAAAATTATGAATAACAAAATAAAATTGAAATAATAAGAATGAAAAACATTAATTAATAAATTTATATTATAAGAATCTGCAGTTGTTAAATTTGTAATAATATTTCAACAAATATTATGTCACATAAATAAGAAATAGTAAATAAATTAAAATTATGAAAGATTAAAATATAGTTATGCATCAAATAATTATAAATTAGATTAATTTAAAAAAATTAGAGTAAAATATAAGGAATTAAGTGAAATAAAGATGAATATATAAGCAATGTAAGTTAAATAAAATTGAAAATATTATTTTAAAATATAAATGAGTGAAAATAAAAATATTAGATCAATATTAATTTAGACATTTGAATATTTTAAAAAGTTTGTAGTTATTTAAATGATTTTAATCAATAATAATAAATTACAATTTTATGCATGTAAAAAAACAAAAAAAGGGAAAGAGAAAAATAGGAAAATAATTAAATTAAAATTGATTTTTCGTTTTATTTATGTAGAAAACTGTATTTAAAAGTAAAAATGATGATGATATTATTATTGTTATACAAATATTATTGTTATAAATTTGGTTGCTTATATTAAAAATTTGAAGTTAATAGTTTACTTGTTTATATAGATTTTAGATGGCATCATCTTCGTCTCGTAGTAGGGTGTTAAATCCCGGCCCCGAGGATGGTTCATTACTGCGCTATCAGTCTATTCATGTTTCAGAGCATATTTGGGATGATCGTGAACACCCAATATTGAGAGTGAGAAGAGGTCATTTCATACATGCTGGCATGGAGGGAGTACCAGTAGAGATTATTCCTCATTTGACAGTAGCAGGATTTGCTGGAGTAGCACAGTTGGCTAGTATTCCTATTGACCGCCAATTTATTACAGCGTTGGTAGAAAGATGGAGGCCAGAGACCCATACATTTCACATGCCCCCTGGAGAGTGTGCTATTACTCTTCAAGACATTGCTATTCAGATGGGTCTTCGTATTGATGGAAGACCAGTTATTGCCCCTACAGGAGGTGACAGGGCACAAATTGTTGAAGATTTATTGGGAATTAGACCACCTAATTCTGCATTTATGGGGAGCAGCTTGAAACTTACTTGGTTGGATGAGCATTTTTCCCATGTTGGGTTGCACAACCAAAATTCCATTCAGCTAACTCGCTTTGCAAGAGCATATATTTTGAGACTTATTGGTGGGTTTATGTTAGCTGATCATTCTAGTAGCAGGGTCCCAGTTAGGTACCTTCCTTTACTTGAGGATTTAGAGATAACTGGACAATATAGTTGGGGAAGTGCAGCTTTAGCCTTCCTATACAGAGAGTTATGCATGTCCACGAATATTGATCGGTCTGGTATTGGAGGATTGACTCCACTTGTGATGCTGTGGGCGTGGGATAGGTTCCCATTTCTATCTCCGGGTGATCCCCCTTACACACAGAATGATCTTCCTTGTGGTGCACGGTATGTCTATAATATTAAAACTTTCATTCAATATTTACACAACAGTATTTTATTACAAACAGTCATGCTAATATTTATGTTTTTATAGGTGGTTAAGATTTCAAAATTTTAGGAAGGGGAGAAAGGATCTAGCTTACTTTAGGTTCAAATTTGATCATTTGAAACGTGATCAGGTATGCGTTATTTGTTTATGATATATGTTATCATCAATTAATAATTATGAATAATTACAATAATATTTTGTACACTTGCAGTTTGTGTGGCAACCATATAGTATAGATTTGATGCATACTTTGCCTGCCATATGCATTGAGGGCATGCATATATGGAGAGCTATTGTGCCGCTTATTTGTTTCCAAATATGTGAATGGCACCAGCCCGATCGTACCATGCGTCAATTTGGGATGGTACAACATATTCCTCATGCTCCTTATCAGCCAGACCAGCTACATGACATTACTCTTAGAGGGAAGACTGCTGACAATTGGGAGTCAAAGTTCAGGGGCGTACTAGAGCATTGGGACAGGAGATTAGATTGGGTTGTGAGTAATGAACCGCAAATTGGTCTACTGAGTTCGAACTCTGAATACATGCGGTGGTACCATACTCATACTAGACGGTGGATGAGCAGAGATGCTGCAGTGTTTGCATTACTTGTACGTATAGATCATTCTAGTAAACAATTTTATTTGTTTAATATAATCTAATCTGAATGTAATGGTTATGTAGGGAGATGTTCATGAGAGGGCTTATTACTTGTGTAATGATGGGAAGGACACATTTTCATTTGAGGAGATGAAGGATTTGTGTGAGACGATGTTAGCCTTGCAAAATGAGCAGGAACGTATCTTAGAGCCTTCATCCTCATGTGATCCTCCTATCCAGAGTGGAAATCTAGATGAGCCTCAGATTGACATTGGTATTGGTGAACAACGTCGGGAAGGCAAAGGTTTGCAACGTCGGCGAACGTCATTTCAGGTATTGTTACCTTATGCTTCATTGGGTCATTTTACTTAAATTATAACACTTTATGTTTCATTTGAACATACTTATGTGTTTAAAATTGCAGGCCACAGATTTTACATTGCCTCCTTTGCCCGAACGAGGAGATGGTGTTTATTATGTCCCACCACCTTTTCCGTTTCAATAATCACAATGGACACAGTCATCTTATGTTCACTCATCACAGCAATCAAACGTCCCTCCTGCATCTCCATTTTTCAGCGGTGAATTTTATGTTCCTGACGCTAGCCTTTTCATGACACCTCCTACATATGAGCCTATGTTTTTCACACTGAGTGCACCCGGTGTAGGCACTCATCAAAGTGGATGTAGTGAGCAAACAACATCATTGGTACCTGGGCATGACCGTGGAATTGATCTTAATGCTGAATTCATTGCAGCCTCAGATGCAGCAGGAGCTGATGTGAGACGTAACCCTCACCGTGGAGCGCGAGATCGTCATCGACAGTGCATTCTCACACCTCATGAGGAGGGACCTCACGAGCAGTCATTGAATTCTGATTGAGACTATGTTATGATACTGTATTTGAAAACTTTAGATGATGTTAATGAATGTTTGCTGATGTTAATGAATGTTTGCTTTTGTTTAAATGCACGACTCATTTATAATTTGCCACATTCTACACATTCGACATCAAACAAGATTAATCAAACAACATACATTAATAAGACAACATACCACAATAAGACAACATACATTAATAAAATCTAGCACACTTTTTACAATCATACGAAACTAGTCATGATTAATGTTAGCATTGCTTTGTTTAGTACAATGACGTTGATTATGACCTGGTTGTCGACATAACCTACATCGTTGTCGCGGTTGTGACTCAACCCAATCCATTTCATTTCTAATTCTACAAGCCTTTGGTCTTCCTTTACCTCGTGCTCTATCTTAATCAGGCAACAACTTCCATTCATCATTTTGTAAAATGTTTGCTTCATTTCCAAGCAGCCACCACTGAGATGAGTATGCGTTCACAACATACTGCAGAGTATATACAGGATCAACATACTGCCAAAAGTCTATACTTACAGTAACACAAGCGGCTATGACATGTGAACAAGGGTATCGGTATGCCTGAAATTTGCCACATTCACATTCACGTGTAGATAATATCACACTCCACTTATGACCCCCCCTTTGTGTCATTGGATTAAAAGCCTCTTCAATCTCGAACCTTGTACTTTGTATGTCGTAACGACGAACCTGATGTGAAGATGCTTCTTCTTGATTTTTTTTCTATAGCTTCAATTAATTTACGACATTCCTTTTACCATTGTTCATGTCATTGATTGCGCTTTCACCCCGTTTGACAAAATATTCGACCAATCTACTATAGGTTGCTTTCACAAGGGTAGTAATTGGGAGATTTCTTGCCTCTTTTAAAACTTTATTCACTGACTCAGACAAATTAGTCGTCATGTGACCATAACGCCGCCCTTCATGATCATAAGCCAAGCTCCACTTTTCCTTTGATATGTTGTCAATCCATGTTTGAACTTCAGGAGAATGCGAACGAAATTTATTAAGACCAGCTTCAAATCTTTGCTTGCAAGGTGTATACGCTACATTTAAATAAGTTATACAGTTAATGGTGAAAAATAAATATATATTCATAGATAATGTAAAATGTAATAGTGATAACATACTTACCTAATTTCATAAGCATACTCTTCATTGCGGAATTTTTGAATCTTCTATTGAAATTGCTTGCAATGTGACGAATGCAATAAACATGGTAAGCATTAGGAGGTTGCCACCCAATATGTGGATTAGACACAGCACTTTTAATACTTTGATGGCGATCAGATATTAAACAAATTCCAGTTTTATCAGTAACATTTAGACGGATCATGGCTAAGAACCATTCCCATGCTGATAATGTTTCTCCTTCAACAATGGCAAATGCTATAGAAAGCACACTGTTATTGCCATCTTGAGTTGTAGCAATAAGCAATGTTTGCTTATACTTACCATACAAAAAGGTACCGTCTACCTGTATTATAGGCTTTCAAAACTTGAAGGCTTCACGACATTGCCTAAATGACCAAAATACTCGATGAAAGACTCTGAATCTATTATCCATTACATTACCTCTCACATAATCATTGGTCTCAATTTTGTAAACTGACCCTGGAGCATGTAATTGCATGTATTCTAACCATCTTGGTAATGTTGCATAAGATTCATCCCAATCACCAAATATTGTCACAATTGCTTTTTGCTTTGCTTTCCATGCTTTTTTGTATGAAACTGAATACCCAAATTGGCCACTTATTCTCTCTTGGATTAATGAAACGGGAACAGAAGGTTCTTCTTTGACCATACCTGTCAATAAAATTAAACAATACATCTCAGCTAATGATCATATCCAAATCATTTTAAATAGACAAATAAATATAATCTCAATTGAGTTTCACGTACCAATAATGCATGAACAAATAAAATTTGAATCTAACTTTTTGTGGTCTTGAGAAATCATAGTATTAACGCAGGTATGCATACCACCCCATCTCGTAATTTTCCACTTATTTGAATTTTTGGGTAGCAATGCTCTTACTTTCCAAGGACACCTGGAAATATGATTCACACACTTGACAAAATGAGTTGATGCTTTTGACTCAACCACAAAAAATGTTTGATGTTTCTTCATTGCATAATGTTTTATCGCCATCTTTACCTCCTCTTTAGAGTCAAATAGTTGTCCAACATATAATGCATCTCCTTGTACCCATGATTGTGACGAATACAACTCTGAAAAATCCAATTCTTGATCAGGATGTTCCCAATTAATAGCAGTGTAGTGTGAACTTATGTTCCAAAAAAGTGTTATAGAATCTGTATTAAACTCAAGAAATGTTAGTTAAAAATATTTAACAATTATTGTATTATATAAAATTGTACTTGCAGATTGTCCTAGCATAATGTTATTTCTTTCAGTGTTTGGAACTATCATCATTGAATCGAAGCCATCTTCCAAATCAGTATCAGAAGAACTATCTAAAGGAATTTCTCATTCATCTTCATAGTCATCATCGTACTCATCTTCGTCATCTGTAGATGCAACAACAAATATTTATTAATAAATTATAAAATTTTAAACATCATATAATTTAAATAAATATTATACATTACCTCCTCCAATTGCATACTCTTCTTCATTGTCACTAACAGACACAGTTGGGAGTGATACATTTAAACATAACAAACTTTCACCTACATGAGAAGTTTCACCAACCGCAATATCCACATATAACTCAACTACTCTTTCATGCCGTTCTTGACAAGCACTTATCATACAGTCAATGTCTTCATCATCACATACATCTAAAATTGTGTAATTTCCACTCCTTGAATCAACTAAAATTCTTGAAATTAGTCTAGAAATTACATTACTATTGCACAATCTCAATTTTATATGTATTTTTTTTTCAACATCTCAAAAGTAATTACACGTTCTATTTTAATCATTTTCTTATTCCCTTCAAATATGATACCCTCATTTCCTTCGTACACTCTTCCATTCCAGTATAAAATAACCACAATTTCAGTCATCCTGTGTATCAAATTAAAAAATACAACCAAAATTATTACAAAAGTTTACCTAAACAAATAGTAACAAAAATAATTACCACAACATTAAAATAATATATTTTTACATTTATATTTTCAATAATATTATATTAACATTAAATAAATTAAATTTATTACTACAAATATTTTTATTTTTATTTATTTATAATAATATTAAAATTATTAATTCAAATTTATTTACAATAAATTAATAACATTCTAACCTTTTTCTTCCAGCAGAACAGCTCACAATTGCGGAACCCCTCTCCTCACAATTGCGGAATGCAGCAGCAGAATACACCTCGGCGTCTGCCTCTATATATTGCGTTTGATGAGAGGAGACATAGATAGTGTCGGCATTCTTTCAGCCGATACACAAGTGTCGCATAAATTTAACCGACACACATGACTTTTGAGAGCGGTTCGAATTGAACCGCTCTCAAAAGTCCATTTTAGATAGCGGTTCCATAACAACCGCTCTCTAAAATGCACTTCTTAGAGCGGTTACTTTCTAACCGCTCTCTAAAATTGATTTATGAGAGCGGTTTGAAAGTAACCGCTCTAAGATGTCTATATTAGAGAGCGGTTCCTTTTGAACCGCTCTCAGTAATCGGGTCTGACACCTGTGTCGGCATTTTTTCAGCCGATACTTGATCATGTGTCGCCAACAGTTTTTACGACACTTACAAATCACCCTAGACAGGGAATTTTTTGTCAAAGAACCCCATACGGATAAAATATTTTTGATTTAACCCTATACAGGCAAAAAACCCTAAAACAATCTCATCCAAACTTTTGAAAGATTATTTGAAGTGACTTTTCAAGTGCTTTAAGAAATTTCAAGTGATTTTTTCATCTTTTTTTTTTTATGCTCATGTTGTTTCTATTTTTTTTCTCTCTGCTAATAATATTGCACTAATACTCATATATAATATTGTTCTATTGTTTTCATTTTATTCTCCGATTTAGTGAAAACTTAAATGACAATGTCATTAATTTGCTTTGCTTTGTTCTATTTAATTGAGTTTGTTTCTCAGATATATAAAATGCAGAAAATACTTGAAATTTTAACTTTTACGTAATAATTTTTTAAATTAATTAAATTTTATTATTATTAAATATATATATATTTAATTTTATTATTAATTTTCAATTTTTTTATCTTTAAAATCACATTTTATAATTTTTTGAAATGTATCAAGTTTTTATTAACTTTTCAAAATTATTTTATATCTCAATTTCATCTAAAATATCAAATATTTCAATAAAAATAACAATTTAAAAACTTAATAAATAAATTTTATATAATTTAAGTTTAAAAGGCAAAATTAGCAATTAAGCTATTTATATAATAAAAGTATTATTGTATATTTTAATAGCTTTGATTTAAATATATGTTAATTTAAATTTTTTTAACATCGTAAGTCATATTAGGAAAAATATGACTCACGATCACGATCTTAAAAAATTTTAAATTAAATCTGTACAAATGTCAAAATTAAACTATATATATATCAAATATGTTTACAATTAGTAATAGAAAATTTTTTACTTTTTTTTTTTTACAAACATATATAATGATTTTAAATATTTAAAATAATATCATATTTAGCCTAAACATATTAAAAATATTTTGTTAAAAATTGCAAGGCTGTTTGAATTTTAAACTTTATAATAATATCATATTAAAGTAGTTAATATACCAGTAAATATTTTGTGTATTTCACAGATTTATGTAAATATATTTCTTTTTTTATTATTTAATTTAATTTTAAAATAATTATATTTAAATATAAAATTAATTATTTTTAACGTGATAGAAAGATAAAAAAATGTTAAAGAAAAGTTTTGATTATTTTTTAAAATAAATTATATATAAAAAAATAAATATAATAATTAAAATTAATTTAAAAATAATAATTTAATTATAAATTAATAAATATATTTGTGTGTTACACAACTTTTTTTTTATAGTTTTTATTAAATTATTTGATTTTAAAATAACTAAAAATTATAATTTAAGTATAAAAGTTTATAAAATTTTGGAAAATTTTTAAAGTCCCGCAGAATTTATTAAAATTCTTACTTAAAAGTCTTGCAGAATCTTATAAAATCTTTTAAAATTTATATGACTTTTTTTAACTACAAAAGTTCTTTAAAATCTTAATCTAATACACTCCCTTAAGTTAAGTGTCATTATTTAATATCTATTTCTTTTTTATGTCTTATCATTGTGTCACTGTATATTTAGTTGGAACGGTAGGATTAATGCCTAAATCATAAAAAATCTTTTCAACATGATAATTTCTTGAATATAATTTATAGAATAATGTTAGCATTATAGTATTGGTAGTTGTTTCACCTGAAAAAAAATTTTAAAGTTAAAATTAATAAAATTTTATTTAATATCAATATTTTATTATTTATTATAAAAGAAATATTAAAAAAATTAATTATGACAGTGTTATAAATAATTTTGTATTAGAAAAATTTAAAATAAAATTATAATAATTTTAATAAGTTATTTTATTAATAAAAAAATATCATTTTAAAGTTTGCTTTAGCTTTAAATTTGATTTAGGCCTCAAAAAGTCCCTGAAATGTATGCATGTGCACTTACTGTATATAGTAATTGTGGTGGTCTTTGTGGAGGGTTACTATCCATACAAGTCTGTGTTAGAAAAGACAAAATAATATTACAGCCGAGTCTTTCAATTCCAACAGAATTCATGTATAACTCGTGCGGTGTAAGGTTGTAGTAAGGGATAATCAATTAGAATGTTGATATTTGTTTGTTATGTAGAAATTTGTATTTAAAAGTAAAAAAAATGTTGATATTATTTAGTTATATAAATATTATTATGTTAAAATAACTAAAGTTTAAACATATATAAATATAAATTAAATGAGAAATATAAAATAATTAAATTAGATAAATATATCAATTAGAATTATATGTGATTGTTAGTAGGTTACTAAAATAAATAAATAATTAAAATAAAATAAAATTAAAATAATAAAAAAGAAATATGTTAATTAATAAATTTACATTATTAAAAAATTGTAGTTGTTAAATTTGTAAAAATAATTTTAAAAATATTTTGTCACATAATTAAGAAATAGTAAATAATTTAAAATTCTTAAAGATATATTTAAATCTAACGATTGTGTAACAACATGAGAAGTCTTACCAACTGCAATATCCACACATAAATCAACTACATTTTTTTGATATCGTTGTTGACATGCACTTATCATGCAGTCAGTCAATGTCTTCATCATCATGTACATCTAAAATTGTATAGTTTTCACTCTTTGCATCAACTAGAATTCATGAAATTAGTTTAGAAATTACATTACTACTACATAATCTCAATTTTGTATGTATTTTTTTTCAGCATCTCAAAAGTAATTTCACGTTCTATTTTAATTATCTTCTTATTCCCTTCGAATATTATACCCTTATTTCTTTCGTACACTCTTCTATTCTAATATAAAATAATCATAATTTCAGTCATTCTGCATATAAAATTAAAAAATACAAAAAAAATATTACGAAAATAAATTAACTACTTAAACAAATGCTAATAGAAAATATTATAAGAATATTAAATTAAAAGAGATTTATATTTACATTTTCAATATTGTATTTACATTAAATAAATTAACATAGTACCACAAATATTTTTAATTTCATAAATTCATAATAATATTAATATTATTATTTCAAACTTAATTGTAAAAAATAAAAAATAAAAATAATAAATTAATAAAATTATAACCTTCAACTTCTCTTGCTCGTCAGCTTCTTCTAAATTTTTTACAACCAATACACATTCGTCGATCTATATATATATATATATTTTAAATTGGATAAAAATTGGTGGATAAAATAGTGTAATCTAATTTAACTGTAGGATAAATTTGTGAATTACCGCATGGTGCACGAGGCAAGTGTTGGTGTCAAAATAATTAATACATTTTAAGTGTCAAAATTTAACCTACCGATACACAGGTGTTTTAAAAAACCCAATTGACACATAAGTGTCAGGCTACTATAAGTCGACACATTTACCATGTGATAAGAATTCAAATCAGTATCAATAATTTATTTGCCAACACCTTTTTTTTTTATATTAAATTAATTTGGTGTCAGTATATTGTAAGCTGACACAATGCTAGAAATTTTACGACACTTTTTTTATTTCACCCTAAACACGGCATTTGTTTCACATTCACCTTATTTGGAGAAATTGTTTCTCCATTCACCATATAGGCAGAAAATCTATAACATCATCTTTTCATTATTCAGAAAATTATAGTGTTTAATATTAAATAACATTAAGATGTGTTAGGAGTGTATTTTGAAGAGTATTAGAAGAAGTTGGTGCAGGGAATCTTGCTCAAGCGAGATTGAGTGCCCAGAAATATTCTGTTTTAGGATAGAATTTTTCCAACCGTCACCATGCTCAGGCGAGTTGTGTTGCCATCTCGCTCAGGCGAGATGAAGCTCGCTCAAGCGAACATACTAGAAAACATTGAGGAAACCATTGTCTGCACATCTCGCTCAGGCAAGGAATCTGTTGCTCAAGTGAGATGTCCTCGCTCAAGCGAGATCACGGGGCTGAGGGGTATTTAAGAGATTTTTCACATGGAAATTCATTTCATTTCTTCAACTCACATACCTCTCTCATATTCTCTAAACTCTCTTTTTCCTATCACAAA